CGGGGGGCGGCACCAGATGGCGGGTGCGCCGCCCCGCCGAAAGTAGACTCATGTACCGGGGGCGGAGGCCCCCTCCGGCCACAAGCAGCGTGGGGATTTAAAAAGCCGGACATGGCTGCCCGAGGAGGAAGGACCCAAACTGCAGAGGTAAGCCCCCGCATTGGCGAGACAGCGGGGCAGGGAGAGGAAGCAGCCCAGGGCAGGCGAAGGGAGCCTGAGGGCTGGCGCGTTACAGCAGACGCCCCGCCAGCCGGAACGGACGCCATAAGCGTTCTGAGTCTGTAGGGCCCTGGGCTGGGGTCCATTAGAGGGGGGGGGCCCGGACCCCCCCTCTCCCTGCTACAGGAAGCCCGGAGACCCCTGGTGTTAAAGGGGCCCCCTGGGCCAAGAGGATAGTTGACTGGGGACGCCAGACGGCAGACCACTGGGTGAGGGAAGCACGAGACTCAGGCGGAGAGCACGGGGTGCTGGGGGCGCCCCGATAGACTCCTTTACAGTGCCACATAAGTACCAGTCACTTAGGGAGATATGGAAACAACTGGATAAAGAATTAGATATTGACCAAAGATTAAATGAAAATTTTTAAGGTCTAAATGAATGAATGAAGTTTATATGGGAAATCTGTAGTGAAATCAGGAGGGGATGAGAAAGCAACAAACCAGTGTCTAATATCACGTGTTTGTTGGCATCCATGTCTACCCCTCATCTCTATGTTTGTGTTCGTAGACTGCAAATGTTTCAAGAAAGGGATCTATTTATTTTATGCCTATAAATCTTGTGTGAGGCACTATCAATAGTAAATGTGGTGGAACACATTCTGCTTTGTGTGTACATGCATAGCTCCCACTGCGGTCAATGCTCAAAGTCAAAGGGACTTTCATGTGCCTATGTGAGTTGAATTTGGCCCTCTTGAAACACATTTCAGGTTCGGAGGCAGTACTGATTATTTTGGTTGTGTAGTACTGAATTTTGAGGGATTCATCATGTTCTGTAGAATTCTAGGACTCTAGCTGGTTCTAGTTAGTAGTTGTGTTATCCTCATGATATAGAGAATAGCTTTAACATTAGGAAGATAACTTTGAGGAGCTAGTTCCTAGATTGTAAGGAATGTCAAATTAGCATTGTCAAACTCTCTGGGAGTTATTCTGAAGTTATTTCATTTCAGCGCTTCCAATATCTGACTCCAAACATTTTCAGGATTTAGTGACTATAAAGAAATAAGATTACAGGTGCCAGATGCCAGCTCCTATATCTAACAAGTCCAGGTGCCTTTACCTCCCAGTGTGTATTATGAATGTTTTTTCCATGATAGTATGCATTTCTAATCTTTCTTTTTCTTTGATATAAATGCTGTATCACGTTGATTCACTACAAGACGACACATGGCGGTTATACTATTATGCGCAAAAAATGGATTTATGTGATTGGGTGTTAGAAGACCAGTTAATGGGATATGGTTGCCAGCCAGTAATGATTGCTAAAAAGCGTAGCTGAAATACAGTGCTGTATCCTCTACTTACTGTATAACTAGGCTGTGTAAATTAAGGTAGTTGCCATCTAGGATTATCTTTCTGTCTTGGAAAATGTTCTGAAAGGAAATCCTTTCTAAAAATACATTAACTGGTCAAATAAATGAAATGCTCATATTTTGAAACAAATGTTCTCTGTATATTTATTTGATATACATATGAATTAGTTACCTTATACAGCTTTTGAGACTTGTTTTATACAGTGTAATACATATTGGTCACGTTTTGATTTTCATCTGAGTTTGACACTACCCAAAAACTGTTGAAATATTTGAATTCCCTGAAAGGAAAAAAATGTAATCTATATTTAACCTGCTCTATGTCTCCTTACGATAGATTTGTAATTAAAAATGTTCATGAGACTTTTACATTTAAACCTGTTGAATAATGTACTGTACTGCGTTAATGTAATATTTTATATCTTTAACACATGTGTTTTCCAGCCCTGAGGGACAACAGGATTGAGCTGGTTCGAGCTTCCTGGCATGAACTGAGCATCAGTGTCAGTGATGTGTCTCTGTCAGATGAAGGGCAATACACCTGTTCTTTATTTACTATGCCTGTCAAAACTTCCAAGGCTTTCCTTACTGTTCTGGGTAAGTATAGCTGGCTAAGAATACCAAAGTGAAATGAGTTAAGAGATGATTTTTTAGGCTTCTTAAGCCTCAGTAAATATTTCTAGTGTCAACTTTCAGAAAACTTAGGAGAAGTATGTAAAACACCCACTCTTGCTTTCACTGAAGATTGCTTGATGAAACCATGCCTAGGAATAGCAAGCTCCTTAACGTGTGTGATGTGGCAGGATCATGAATTACAGTGCACATGAATGCTTCGTAAAATGGACATAACCTCTATAACCCACGTACCAAAAGGGTTAACAGGGTGCATGTGTTCATCTTCTAACAATGTACTGTATAGGGCAAAAGAGACAAAATCAGAGAGTATGAAATCAAAAAGGAAAGGGCTTTAAGGGACTCATAGTTTTGCCTTAGCTATGCATTTTCCTGGCTCATTCTATTTTCTTTTAAGCAAAAGTATGAGTTTTCTCCCTACAATTTTCATATTTTCACTGGGCTTGCTTCTTTGATGTTTCATCCTCTAAATGTTCTGCTGTTTTCCCCAAAGGCCAGTTGGTCACTCTCTCTCACTCACACACACACACTCAATCTAGATGCCTGGATCTGGCCCATGAGGCTCAGGGACCCTTCCAGCACTGGGGAGCCCACGCTGGTGCTCCAGCCCTCCCCCTCCTGCTCCACTGCAGAGCTGAAGCACACAAAACCTACTAGGCTGGGCCCCCTAGACTCTGGGGGAATATGAGGAGTAACCTTCTCCTTCTCAGTCAGGGGCCATGTCAGTGAGGGGTTTGATTTGTTTTGTTTTGTTTTATGCTTCTCACTTATGCGCAGTCCCCAAATGATTTTTCTGAGAGTCAGCAGCCCCTAACCGAAAGAGGTTCCCCGCCCCTGAAGTAGATTCATATAGATGCCCAAGCTTTATGTGATTCTGTCAATGTCAGTAGCCTAATCAGCTAAAATTTGTGGTGTTCACTGTAACACATTTGCATGCCTAAAATCTTTACGCTTTTAAAGATTGATTTTTTTATTTTATTTTGTTTTGCTTTTTATATATAGAAAAGCAGACAGTTGAATTTAATAAGACTAATACAAGATGTTCCCTTTGCTGGCAATATTAAAGTTAAACCACTCAAGGAATTGATTTTGTGCATAGGATATGAAGTACAGTATACCTCTGTGAATCCCACTGAGTCTGTTTTGCAAAAATCTTCTCAAGTTTGCCATCAAGGACAAAAATATCCACTCAAAGCAGAATATTTGGGGATAACAACTGCCTAAGGGTTAATTTTTTTCTGTTGAGTCATCTCAAGATCCAAAGAATAGGTGATTAGTCAAATTTAAACTATTAAATGACAGTGAGACACAGAAAAAGGGTATTTCAAAGTTAAAAAAAATAAACCCAAGACATCTAACCAGTAGCTTCTAATCAAGGTAGCTTGCTCTTTTAAGGTCTATTTAGTTCTATTTTTTGTTTGGTTGTGAGGGATTTTTTTTTATTATTATTATTTTTACATGATTGCTTTCCAACATCATCTGTTTTCTTTCTAACAAAAAAACAGCAGAAAGGTTTCAGAAGCATCTGTCTTACTATAATTTCATATAATTGTCTATTAGAAACTCATATTTAAAATTCTAAATATGACCCTACATAAGAGTAATTTTTTATTTGAAATTGAGTCCATGCATTTTTAACAGAGAAATATTTCTGCATATAAATAATCTTTCTAGTTACTGGTCTGATTTGGATTAGAAGATTTTAATGTAGATGGATTATTAAAGATGCCATTTCATGCCCTAAAAAGTGGGAGTTGTTTTATTACAGAAACTATATTTGATTGGTGCTGTTGCTTTTGTCTGGACTACTGTTTAATTAGGTACTGGGTTTATCAGTTTCTTTTGGCAAAGGAAAGATATGAACAAATCACATTGCTAAATGCAGACCACAAAATGGAATTTCAGTGACTTATCCTTTTTTCCTGGAATAAAAATCCATGAATTAATTGAAACTTTTGAAATGTAAAGGGTAAACCTAATCATAAAATGAGAGCTTTTAGAAACTGTGGTATGACACATCTTCTCAAAATAAGACCTTTCTATGTGTTACGAAGCCAGTCATTGACAATAACTAAATATTCTCAATTTCATTTACAGCTCTATATTTTAGGTCTCCCTCCAATCCTCAAAACATAATCTTTCTCATCCCTAATATTCTGTGTATGATGATTAATTGGCATAGACCCTGATCCAAAGCTCACTAGTCAATGGAAGGATTTCTATGAATTCTGTGTGCTTTGGACTGGGCACATTATTTTACTACAGGCAGTCCCCGAGTTACGCGGATCCGACTTATGTCGGATCCGCAGTTACGAACGGGGATTTCTCGCCCCGGAGAACTAGAGCAGCGGGATGCCTGGTCCCGCCGCCCGCCTTCTCCGGGGCGAGAAAAGCTGCTCCCCGTCTCCCTGGTCTGCTGGCGGAGCAAAGCGGTGGAGCACCGGTGGCCGGACCCACAGCCGCTTCCAGATCAGCTGGAAGCGGCGCGGGGCCGGCCGGGTGCTCCGCTGCTCTGTTCAGCGTCTCCCTGGTCAGCTGACCAGGGAGACGCTGAACAAAGCAGCGGAGCACCCGGGGCCGGCCCCGCGGCCGCTTCCAGATCAGCTGGAAGCGGCGCGGGGCCGGCCGGGTGCTCCGCTGCTCTGTTCAGCGTCTCCCTGGTCAGCTGACCAGGGAGACGCTGAACAAAGCAGCGGAGCACCCGGGGCCGGCCCCGCGGCCGCTTCCAGATCAGCTGGAAGCGGCGCGGGGCCGGCCGGGTGCTCCGCTGCTCTGTTCAGCGTCTCCCTGGTCAGCTGACCAGGGAGACGCTGAACAAAGCAGCGGAGCACCCGGGGCCGGCCCCGCGGCCGCTTCCAGATCAGCTGGAAGCGGCGCGGGGCCGGCCGGGTGCTCCGCTGCTCTGTTCAGCGTCTCCCTGGTCAGCTGACCAGGGAGACGTGGAGCAAAGCGGGGGGCCTGTGGTAGAGCAGGTGGGGCACTGCCGGTTGGCGCTACTGGACCACCCCGGCAGCCCCCCAGCTGCTCTGCCCCAGGCGTCCTGATTCAGCTGCTGATCAGTTTCAGCAGCAGCTGACTTGGGGATGCCTGGTGTTCTTACCTTGAATCTGTATGTAAGTGGAACTGGTGTCCAGATTCAGCGGCTGTTGAAACTGATCAGTTTCAGCAGCGGCTGATGCCAGTTCTGTCTTACATACAGATTCAACTTAAGAACAAACCTACAGTCCCTGTCTTGTACGTAACCCGGGGACTGCCTGTATTTATTTTAGAAATGTGCATCTGATCTGTGAGTCTGTTTGTTCAAGAACTCTGCCTAAACGTTAAGAGCTAGGACCACCAAATTGGCAGTAGCTTCCTCCTGTCATAACTTAAAGCAAGGCCAGTATAATGGGATGTGTGTGAAATGTGTTTGTTTCTCAGAAAATGGAAAAGGAGAGGTCTGGTAAGAGGGACAGTTATTGTGCAGGACAACCAGCAAGGGGACTGGGACAACTATAACCCCATTGGGCCAGCAGGGACTAGGAGTGGAGAAAGGATCAACTATCAACTATATATTTCAGAGAGTTTGTCTTTTTGTGTCTGTCTCCCCCAGCTTGGGGATTTGCACCCCTTCCCCCAGCTGCAGCGGACATGGACGGATGCTTTTCATCTGGCCCCCTGCTGCAATGAGAGATAGCTGGGGCTGTTTCCTTTACCCTGGGCAGCCTACATACTTAACCCCTCATCCCTAGCCCCACTCTGAAAAATGATTTAAATGAAGAAAAACAAAACTTATTTTGTAGGAGTAGGAGTCCTGGAATTCATGCTGGAACTGTCTGTTGAAATACATCTGAATCAATTTGTTGTCTCATTTTAACAAGAGTAGTTAATATTTTTCACACCTCCCACTCAAAATAATCTGCTTTAAAATGCAGCTATCCTTTATATGTCTAGCAATAGGAAATCAACTTAAATTTGAACATAACGTGTGAGACAAGCTGGCTTGGTTTAAAATGAACATTAAAACCTGTAAATTAAAATTTAGCATGATTCTGAGTCACTGGTCAATTTAAAATAGGAAATAGAATTCAGTGACACTTGTTGATAGGCCTGTCAATCATAAAGTGAATAAACCTATCTGTTAATTACTTTACCTATAATGCTAAGATTGTTTTGAAAATTGACCTATAATAGGTTAACCTTATCAACTGATAACTCTGATCAAAAAGTTTATAGTAGCTGATTGGCAACATGCTGTATCTTTTATTTGCTTGATTATTTTCTAGGTGTTCCTGAGAAGCCACAAATTAGTGGATTCATTTCACCTGTTATGGAGGGAGAGAGGATGCAGCTAACCTGCAAGACCTCTGGTAGCAAACCAGCAGCTGATATGAGATGGTTCAAGAATGATAAAGAGATTAAAGGTATTGAAAAGCAATTGCATGTAATTGTGTGTCAACATCAAAACTAAAGTATTTAATGGGCTAGACTAGGATTGCTTGCTTGTATTATTTCCATTTTATAAAAGAATGGTCATTATCTAAATGTGCAAGAATCAATTATACTCTGAAAATGTGAAAGAATTGATCAACATTTATCATGATACCTATATGATTGTTTTTATATGTTACAAACTATAACTTTTAATTATAATAGTGATCTTAAGATCATAATATTACCTTAATTGAGATGATCATAAAATGCTTTACAACAGTCTTTTGCAGCAGGAAAATGTCTTTCTCAGTACCCCTGCTATTTTGCCATTTGTTCCACTTTTTTCTGTTCCCAGAAAACTGGTATTGATTTTTAATACTGTTCATCCAGTATGCTAAAAGATCAGGTCCATGAGTTGTCAGAATTGTGACTGTTTCTTTATAGCTTTTGTTTTAAAACCATTCCTTTAGTATCCATGTATCTCTCCCACTTGTGTAGTAGTATAGTTTGTGTTAGGGAATCAAAAAGCTTCTTTGAGTAAAGTTATGGTGGTAGTAAGAGAAACAGTTCATCTTTCTTCCGTATCCACCAACACAGAGCAATACATAATAAAACAAATACTAATATACAAAAATAATAGCATGGTTGGTATTCACAGAAATGTTTCTTTTAAATGTACCGGTCTTGAGATGTTTCCAATTTAAAATCAGAAAAGTGGATTGGAAAGGAGCAAGGACTTTGGGCTCAAATAGACTAAAATAAATTGGAGTTGCTGTGGTCAAGTGAGTTGTGAAACAGGAAAACAAAGTGGAGTCTTTCAGCCTGCTGGAAGGTAGAGGAAAATACCAAAAGAAAAGTAGTACCTTGTGCAATACAGAGGATATAATTTACATGCTGTACTATGCCAGCAAAGCTGTTATTCAAAAGAGATGTCAAAGTGAATGTATGCAAGAAGTTCTATCAAAAGATGGAAAATAAACTTAGGTAGTGACAGTATCCTAAATGAACTACTGGTATAAGCAGATATATCAGCAAGAGCAACTCAAGGCACCAGGTTTAAAAAAAAGTTACATCTATCAGGCTTCCACAATAATTATGCCGTTCCTGTTGAAATGTAATAGCAAAGCAGACAATTTAGGGATTTCAGTCTTAACATACAACTTTCTGAGAGGTTACTAAGAGATGGACATAGGAAAGAAAACTTGGTAGAATGGATGAAGTAAAGGTTTAAAGAGAAGAGAAATAGGAGGTGAAGAAGATACAAATGAGGGAAAAGCCTTTAGTTTTCTAGGTCTTCTGAAGAGCATAGTGCCATTGTCATGAAGGTTACAAATAAAATAACCTAACTAGCTTGCAATGGCATCAGCAGAAGGAACATTAACTTTTGTGCACTGGAAAAGGTGAAATGATAAATCTGAGAAAATAGATATGAAATGGTATGCTAATGTATCTGACATTAAAGGTTAGAAGTTCTGCTGTCTAGCACCAGTAAATTCAATTGTGTTACAGTATATTATACATGGTGGAAAAGAATGTGAAAAGTGAATACATTCAGTTCAGAGTAGGAATGGGGGTGGGGAGGAGGAGAAGGGAAAAGCCAGGCTAAAATTTTGCTTGCATTTCTCTTAGCAGAAAGAAGGAATCATCATCTAGTAAGAGAGAACTGTTTTAACAGGCTCAATGTCAAGAATGGTGTTATGCTTATAGGAAGCACATGGGATCTTTTTCAGGGGGATAAGACAACATGCTGCATTTATTGACAATATAACAAAGTAGTGTGTGCATGCACGCACACACACACACACACACACACACACACTGATGGAATAGTTACTAGTCTATTGCTTGGCCCAACCTATTGGCCAGATAGGTCAGGTGCAAGGTAGAAGTTCGATTCATGTCATTCTAGACTGATGCCCCTCCTGGTCTTGATCTTAGCAGGACAGAACCCGAAGAACCATACAAGACACCACATCCTTTATAGGACTTTCCTTCCATGGAAGTCTGTGCATTTTGCCTCATCAGGCCTTAGTCAGTCATTCAGCATCAAAATCAATCTTCCTACGATGTGCTTATTGGGAAGAAGTTGTTCTCATAGTCATCTGATACCAGTACGTTGACGACCGCTCGGGGGCATTGTCCTTCCATCAAAAATTGTGATTGGTTCCGTATCAAGGGGTTCATGCCTCTAGCTTCAGGGTTTGTCAGTCTGCCCTGGTAGTCTGCGTCTTCCGTGTGCTTTGATTATTATTTGGTGCTTCTGAGTCTCCAGCCCTTCCTCTGACCATCTGAGCATGCAGTGGCCTTCACACTTATCTCTCCTAAAAAATTCTCTCTCATTCACATAAACAGTATATTTACAGAATTGCATCATGGAACAAAGGGATACTTCTAAAACACTTTAACAAAGTTACAATGTCTTTCAACATTAAACTTCTTTTAACTACTACAAGGCCTTATCTAACACTAATATCACTATGAATTACAATATTCCATCCCTTTACTTTAACATGCTAACATCTAATAAAGCCTGTCTGCAGCCTACCTCTTATATTTAAGTTTAATCCAAACCTTTGCTATAACATACATTTATTACAACTGATTTATTAGTTACAAAATTCCAATTCCAGTGCTACAATGGGAGAAGCTGAGTGTGAATCGTGACATTCCATATTTTAACATTCGGCATCTGATACATGCATCCATATTAGCACAGGGATGTGAGGTATGCCTTTCTGATCCTTTTTTATTCCTACGTGTACAAGTAATATTGCTGACTGTGGCATCCCTAAATTGAGCTTATTTAGAGCTACAAATATATAAAAAAGAAAATACACAATACTTTATTTCTAGTGTAATTTATTACACACTGTTTTGAAAATATAACCTTAAATGTAGTTTGTTTTTTGAGAAATATCTTCAGATGATTTTCCTTTTTTTTTCTTGTGTGGAAAAAGTAAATTAATATTTTTGCAACTGAATGGCAATTTAAAATGAAGCTGTTAATTTTAATATGTGCAATAAGATCAGAAATGTGGTAATTTTTTTGTCTTGACAAAACTCCAGTGAAAGTAGAGTTTAATCTTTTCAGATTAATGCATGGATAAAGCAAAACTAGTTGAAAAATATACAGAAGCTATTAATACCAATTTTATCCAGTTAAAATATAGAAAAAATATTTTCATTACATATATGGGAACATATAATTTTAAATAACCATGGAGTGATAAATAAACACGTTTCTATTATTTTCCTCCACAGAGACCAATAATACGGAGCTACGAAAAAAGTGTTAACCAGTCAGAGTGCATGTGCAAATGCATCCTGATTGGTTGCAGTGAGTTCCAGGAAAACTTTTTCCATGGAAGGCTTTTTTCTTGACTTTAAGCTTCAATTCTTGAATTAATGTGATTCTCAGAAAGAAAGAGAGAAAAAATCTGTCACTTGAAAAATATTTGGCTGTTACTGAATAACATATCAGTATTTTATATGATCCAGATATTCAGAGTTTATATAAAAGTACGTACAATGACTTTTCAGTGACGATTTAAAGTCAAGAATTTCAAAAAACAGGCACGTAAAATGCTCCTAAAGAAGTGCTCTCCATTTTTTCAAATGAGCTTGCTATCCAGAATCCGCCCGTTGAAGTGAATACATCTGATGCCTAGGAGCTATCCAACCTGCACTTAACTTGAAACTGCTGGGTGCTTAGCACTTTTAAAAATGAATCTGTTTATTCAAGTGCTTAAAGTTAAACTTAGAACACAAAATGTAGGTACTTTTAAAATCTAGGATAAAATATTTTCTTATTTTATGAATGTAATAACATTGGTTTAGCCACAGTCAATATTTTCCTCGGCTTTGTGTTCCATACATTTTGATAGTCACCTTAGGAAAAATTGAAATCATCTTAATGCTTAGCAACCAGCAGGAAGAAAAATGTAAGCGTGTAGAAGAAAATTATTTCTGAGGCAAAAATCAGAATTACTTAACTACCTGGATTCTTACATTATCTGAAGTGCATGAAAAGCCCATCTTTCTGATTCCATAGATATTTGTAATCTAAAAAGATGTAGCTTATTACATTTTATATCTGCTTTCTAAAATTGACTTTTCATGGAAATTTTATTTAGGTCATCTTCCTCTCCCTAATGGGATTTTACAATGATTTGTAGAACTGAAACCTCTTGCATTTTCCTTTCCTTTGATTAGGAAATAGAGGACACATGCAATCTCAGTAGTACATTTCCTTATAAAAATTCATTTTAAGGCCTTCATTAGCCCAAATCAATATGGCCAGGTTGCTGTTTTGCTGAAATAAACAAAAATCAATGAGCAATATAAATAGATGTGTACAAAATAAAATAAATTCAAAAAGTTTATAAGTGGCTCTCCCATTAACTTCTGTACATAATAACTTTTAAAGTTAAACACCTCATCTGTTGATTCTTATGTTTCGTCCTCATTTATGCATCCATCATATATACAAGGCCCCAGAGGTCTTGAAATGAGTTGTGTAGGGAGTGCTATGCACCCCCTGACTTGAAGTCATTTCCGTTATACACAGGGTTTAGAGATTAGGTTCTGTCTGTTGGCACCTGCACTATAAAAATTGTGCCAGTACCCCTGCCCATTACAGAGAGAAGCTAAGGGTTCACAACTATGTGAAGTCAATTGAAATTGCAAGTGCACAGCATCCTAGAGAATGTCTATACAACAGCTGGACATGAACATCTCAGCCATAGTAGAAAGACTTGTTCCAGCAGGGCTACAGATTGCACACTAAAAATGGCTAGGTGGGGTTGGTAGGCTTGAGATTGAATGTTCCAGCCCAAGCAATAGCATCTACACTGTTATTTTTTTAATGTACTAGTTTATACTCTGCTAATGTGACTCAGGCCCAAATGGGAGGCATGGTCCCAGGTACAGAAGAGATGAACACTCAGGGTACGTCTAGACTATGCTGTATTTTTGAAAGATTAGTTAAAAAAAAAAAATTATTTTTGAAAGTGAAAGTAGTCTGGACACTTTTTTTTCCCCCAGGGGGAAAAAAAACCCTTTTTCGAAAAACCATGTAAACTTCATTTTTAAAGAAAGAGTGGTGTTTAGAAAAAGTGTCTTTTTCCCCAAAATAAATGCATCCAGACTACTTTCACTTTCAAAAGACCCACTTTCGAAAGTGAGATTGGAAGAAGATATGCAAATTCTCATGGAATTTGCATATCCTGTTTCGAAAATACAACATAGTCTAAATGTACTCTCAGAGCCCAAACTGAAACTATGTGGGGTTACTAATATACTTGTATCACATATCTATAACAGACTAGATACCTAGACTTCAAAATTTTTACTGTAAGTAACTCTATAAAGTGCTTTAAAAATGTGTTTTTCTAGTGGACGTCAGTGGAAGTTTATTTCTAATTGGGATGTATATATATTCATGGTAATGAGGAGATGCAAGGTATTCTTGCCTTTCAGTTGATTTTGGTTTAGTTCATTGCAGATTTAATTGATTGTAGATGTCCAGCCATCAGTTCCAGTTCAAAAGCTAAACTGGCTTAAACAAAATTCTTGCTTATTCTCCCACCCTTTCCCTCCTATACTCCTTTCTTGATGTCTGAAGATCACTACCATCATCCATGTAACTCGGGCACATAAGATCAGCATCATCTTCAATATGGATCTCTCTATATGTCCTCAGATTATGTCCATAGTCAAGCTGGAAGGGCATACCAAGTGGGGTCCTGCAGGGATCAATTCTGGGACCAATTCTGTTCAATAACCTCATCAATTATTTAGATAAAGGAACAGTGAGTATACTTACAGAGTTAGTGACTTATACCAAGCTGGGAGGGATTGCAAGTGCTTTAAAGGGTACAATTAAAATTCAAAATGATCTGGGCAACCTGAATAAATGGTCTGAAATAAATAGGATTCCAATCAATAAGGACAAATGCAAAACTACTCCACTTGGGAAGGAACAATCAGTTGCACACACTGATGGGAAACAATTGCAAAAGATTTGATGATCATAGTAAATGAGAAGCCCAAAATGAGTCAACAATGTAACAGTTGAAGAAAAAAAGAAAAAGCTAATTCTGATATGTTTTAGCAAAAGAGTTGTAAGCAATACACAAGAAGAAATCATTATGCCACTGATTAGCTTCCCCTGGAGTACTGAGTCCACATTTAAGGAAAGATATGGACAAATTAGAGAATGTCCAGAGAAGAGCAACAAAAATGATTAAATATTTAGAAAACATGGACCATGAGGGAAGAGTGGAATAAATGGGTCTGTTTAGAGACAGTAGAAGAGAAGACATGATAACAGTTTTCAAGTACATAAAAGATTGTTAAAAGTAGAAGGAAGAAAAATTATTCTCCTTGACCTCTGATGATATGACACAAAGCAATGGGATTAAATTTCAGCAATGGCAGTTTAGGTTGGACATTAGGAAGAACTTCCTGCGAGGTTGGTTAAGCACTGGAATAAATTGCCTAGGGAGGCCGTGGAATCTCCATCACTGGAGATTTTTAGAAGCAGGACAGCCAAACATCTGTCAGGGGATGATCTGGATAATACTTAGTCCTGCTATGAGATCAGGGAGCTAGATGACCTCTCAAAGTCACTTCCAGTCCTATGAGTCTGTGATCGATCTTACAATTTCATCCTGCATGGCCTCCTTGAAATACAACCGTTCCTATTAATCACAACAAGTAAAAATCTTGTGTGTAGGCTCTCATCAGTTGATTTTGAAATTGCTTTTCCTAAATGCGTATTTGGCAATGGCAGTATTGGTTCAGACAAATAATGGAATATCTGGCTATAAAATGTAGAGGTGTTTAAAGCAAATAGGTGAACCATTTTTAAAAATCAGTTTGCTATACACTAGAGCCTCCTAATTTGCCTTGTGCTCCTTGAACATCATTAAGATAAAATTTGTTTCTCTTGCAGATGTAAAATATTTAAAAGAAGAGGATGAAAATCGCAGAACATTCACTGTTAGCAGCACGCTGGATTTCCGAGTGGATCGGAGTGATGATGGTGCCGTTTTAAGTTGCAGAGTAGACCATGAGTCCCTAAATTCTACACCTCAGATAGCAATGCAGGTTCTAGAAATACACTGTAAGTAATACATAATCTATTATATATCTGAAAAAGTTTGTGCATCTGTCTGGTCTTCCTATCTGTGTTTCTGTCTGTGAGTCTATTTGTTCAAGAACTCATCCTAAACATTAAGAACCAGGGCCACCAAATTTGGTATGTAGCTTCCTCATATCATAACCTAAGTAAGCAAAGGGTTTGGTTGTGCCTATCAATGGGATGTGCATGGAATGTGATTTGTTCCTCATTAAACAGAAAGGTAGGGGTGTGAGAGCAGAGACAGTTACATTCCTGAGGTACCACAGGAGGGTAACAAACACCCCAACCACTGAGGAAGCAGCCAGGCAGTGTGACCTTCTGCTCACAAACAGAGAGGAACTAATAGGGGAAGTAGAGGTGGGTGACAACCTGGGAAGCAGTGATCATGAGATGGTAGATTTCAGGATCCTGACCAAAGGAAGAAAAGAGAGTAGTAAAATACACACCTTGGACTTCAAAAAAGCAGATTTTGACTTCCTCTGGGTATGTCTACACTACCACCCTAGTTCGAACTAGGGTGGTAGTGTAGACATACCCTCAGAGATCTGATGGGCAGAATCCCCTGGGATGCTAACATGAAGGGGAAAGGAGTCCAGGACAGCTGGCAGTTTTTTAAAGAAGCCTTATTGAAGGCACAGAAAGAAACCATCC